CCACCAGCCTCTCTGTGGGAGAAAGATGAAGCTTTCTGCTCCTATCAAGAGCCACGACCTTGGAAACCCACAAGGAGAGTGCAACTCTGCCCTTCAGGGTTGCTATGAGTCGGACCTGGCGAGATGGCAGTCGGCCGAGCTGGTTAGGGTCGCTTGTGTCTTGAGATGTTCGAGTCCATCTGTGGTTTCTGCCACGTGGATTATAATGTTGGTTACTAGTGTCATTCTAGGACCTAGGTTCCTCCCTCTTCCTCGTTTGTTTGTTTGTGTGTGTTTCCTCCTCTCTTTCTATTGCTTAATACTTGATAGTCCAGTAGCTTAGTGAGTTTCCCAAAAGATCTGCTAAGCCTTCACCTGGCTGCTGTGAAGACTCGCAGGTGCTCATCAGTCCTGATAAGGCCAGTGCTGTCATGTCTGCTAGTTCACTCCCTTCCCAGACTCCCCAAGGAAGGAAAAGCGCATGAAGCTCCTTACACCTCTGTGGTCATGATATCATCTGTTGTCAATTTGAGACGTAAGAGTGAAGGGGTGGAGTCTAGCCTGTCAATCAGGTCGCAGCTTGATGACCTCATTTGGAGGCACCAGGGAGATGAATAGCTCGCTGGAGGCGTGACAGACACACTCCTTGTGAGACCTTCCTTCTGACAAGACACATGGAGCTGCGCTAGAGCCCTGGAGTTGGAGGAGCCACATGGAGACCCCTGCCAGAGTTGAGATGTTTCTGCCGGCACTGGAACTACAAGACTTTTCACCCACTGGCCTGTGATCTTCCTGCATTCGGCGTCATTACATGTGTTGCGTGAGTCTGAAGAGGAATTTATAGACTGGTATGGGACATATGGGCTAATATCAGACTTATGGCCTTGAACCGGACTGGGCTGGGATGCTTTCTTAATGTACAATTATTCTTTGATATAGAACTCTTTCTTGCCAATCCACAGAGAAGACTGGTCCCACTAGGAGATACGACATCTCTCATTGACCCATTGACCCACAGGGGACAACACTAGAAACACAGTGTGGGAATTGCTCCGATCTGATCCCACCACACCAAGGCAAAACACTAAGGGCATGCAACAGAACAGCAAGGGGAACAGAGCAAGGAAGTCCCCAGGGAATAAAAAAAATAGACTTTGGGGCCAGGTCTTGACACCCCAATCAGACTCGACTAGAAAACAGGCTTAAAGGCCAACAGTCCTTGAACTAACTACAAGCCTTTCTTTTTCGTTGTTGTTGCTGTTGTTTTTTTGTCATTGGCTTTTTGTGGTGGTTGTTTTCTTTTGTTCCTTGGTTTTGCTCTGTATTGTTTTTGTGCATGTTATTATCTCCACAGTTCTGTCTAAATAAGATAGGCTGGATGAATGATCTGGAGGAGAATACAACAGGACCGACAGTTCCGGGGGGGACATGGGAGAGGTGGAGGTGGGGGGAAGGGAAGTGGTGTTAACAAACCCAGGGACAAGGGAATAAGTGATCCAAATCGGTGGTTAGGAGGGTGTAGGTGGCCTGGTAGGGCATGATCAAGGGTAATCGAGGAATTACTAAAACCCTAATGAAGGCTGAGCATGATAGTGGGACAAGAGGAAAGTAAAAGGAAATAGAGGAAAGAGCTAGGAGGCAAAGGGCATTTATAGAGATCCAAATAAAGGCATTTACATATGTAAATATATTTATGTATGAGAACGGGGAAATAAATTTATGTGCATATATGTATAGGTTTAGTATTAAGGTAGCAGATGGACACTGGGCCTCTACTCAAGTACTCCCTCAATGCAAAAATACTTTGTTCTATTAAACTGGCATTCCATGATGCTCACCTTCCCAACACGATCGATTGCTGAAGACAAAGCAGGTGCATAAGCAAATGTAGTGAAGAAAGCTGATGGTGCCCAGCTATCATAAGATATAGTGTCTGGCGTCTTAAAGGCTTGAAGGTAAACAAGCAGCCATCTAGCTCAGAAGCAACAAAGCCCACATGGAAGAAGCACACCAGCCTGTGTGATCATGAGGTGTCGAAGGGATCAGGTATCAGTTTGAAAGAACAAAATATCATATCATTGTGAATGAGGGGGAGTGCGGAGGGGGAGTACGGAGTCGGGACCCAAAGCCCATCTGTAGGCAACTGGACATCCCCTTATGGAAGGGTCACAGGAAGGAGACTAGGCCGTCAGGATGCAGTGTAGCAACAATGAAACATACAATTTTCTTCTAGTTCCTAAATCCTGCCCACCCCCCACTATCATGATCCCAATTCTACCTTACAAATCTGGCTAGGCCAGAGGATGTACACTGGTACAGATAGGAACTGGTAACACAGGGAATCCAGGACGGATGATCCCTTCAGGACCAGTGTGAGAGTGGTGATACTAGGAGGGTGGAGGGAAGGTGGGGTGGAAAGGGGGAACTGATCACAAGGATCTACATATAACCTCCTCCCTGAGGGATGGAAAATGGAAGGGTGGATGAGGGGAGACGTCGGACAGCGTAAGATATGACAAAATAATAATTTATAAATTATCAAGGGTCCATGAGGGAGGGGGGAGCCAGGAGGGAGGGGAAAATGAGGAGCTGATGCCAGGGGCTTATGTGGAGAGCAAGTATTTTGAGAATGATGAGGGTAACAAATGTACAAATGTATGGATTTGTACACAATTGATGTATGTATGGATTGTGTTGTTGTATGAGCCCCCAATAAAATGACTAAAATAAACACACCCTAAAAACAAACCTGTTTCTTATACACGTATTTGAGTGCCTCTGGATTTGTCTCTGTAGTCAGTCCAGTCACACCACCTCCATCGTGGCTCCCTCAGAACCACTGGCCTCCTCGTTTCTGGATGCAGAATTACTGGCTGTTATTTCCCCGTCTTCTAGATCCTTTGACTTCTGCTAAGAATTCAGCTGTTATCTTCCTGAGGGTCCCTCGGAAGGGACGAGCCACTCCTCTTGGTGTTTGGTTGTGATGCTGTAAGAGCTCTGAGTGCACCAACTTTGAATGTGTCCCTCGATTTTTCTTAACGTCAAATTTGGGAAACTGTCGGCCATGATCTCTTCAAGCTTATGCCTGTTCAAGCCCAGTGACAGGTACGTGGAGGTCCGATGGATTATTTTTGTTTGAAAAGCTGTGCAATAAACTTGGTTTGTTTTTTTAAAGAAAGAGGTGTTCCCTTGGGTCAAGCAAGGCAGCTGTGACCTGGGAAAAAGACAGCGCACTGGCTGGGAGGGAGGGAGCGAAGCAACGCCCGGAGACAAGCGGACAGTGTGCTGGGAGAACGAAAGGCCGAGAGACGGAATCCATCATCATGGATGGGCTGGGCCCACAATCCGTTCTGGTCCCTCTCCGGAATCCCAGACGTCTTTCCAGTGGTCAGTAAAAGGTGTTTCTCCCTGAGCCCATTGACCGAGGCCCAAGGCAGTGTTTGTGCACAGGCTGACAGGCCTCCGGGGACATGGACAGGGAAGAGGTAGACTTCTGCCCTGAAGGCATCAACTGCCCCAAGGCATTATGTAGGGCAATGGGCCTTTGTCAATGACCCGTTAAAAGGACTTTGCTTACAGGTTCTTTGCAACTTAAATACTCCCAAACCAAACTCCCTGCCGCCAAGTCCATGGCAACCCCTTAAGACAGTGGTTCTCAACCTTCCTGATGCCGTGATCCTTTATTACAGTCCCTCATGTGGTGGTGACCCCCAACCATTAGTTTATTTTCATTGCTAACTTCATCACTGTCATTTTGTTACTGTGATGAATTGGGCGACGTCACAGGTCGAGAACCAAGCATAGACCTGCCCTTCTGGGTTTCTAAGACGACAGCTCTTCAAGGGAGGCAAAAGGCGAGGCTTTTGCCCAGAGTGGGTAGTGGTTTCAAACCGCTAACCTCTGGGTGAGCAGCCCAACATGTAACGGCTACACCACGCTACATAGGCGGACCTCAAAACCCCATGCAGGGAGCTGGGGTGGTTTGTGCAGAAGAGATCCCACAGGGCAGAAGAGTCCAAGACCCGGGCCACGGTTACGGCCCAGGGGGGTCCTAGCTGGCTTGCCAGGCTGCCAGCGCGTCACCAGGGGAGAACCCAGAAAGGTGACAGTCAAGCTGTCCTGACTTAGATTGCTGTGATTGTCAACTCCACCCACCGCCATCACATTGATCCCAACCCCCGCCTACCCACCCGAGGGCTCCGAGGCTGGAAATCTGCAGAGCAGACATCTCCTCTCTCTCCGGGGCAGCTGATAGCTTTTGAACTGCTGACCTTGCAGTGGGCAGGCCTAGCATCACTCACTCTGCTCCCGGGGCCCCTCCTAGGAGGAACAGAAACACATTCAAGACTGAGAGCCCCTGGGCTGGTCTTTGGAAGCCCGCTGGGGATCTGCCTCTCCCGTGCCACCAGGCTGGCAGAGGAGAAAGGAAGGGGGCGAAGGGGTGATGCCAGGGAGAGCAGAGCAGGCCAGGGGGCTCTTGGTGGCGGGGTAGGGGGATAGAGCGCTGAGCCCCGCTTCCTCCAGAGCCCAGGCCGTCTGAGCAGAGCCCTCAGAAAGGGACCGTGCTAGTTGTTGACTCATTTCTGACTCACGGTGACACCACATGAGTCGGAGTGAGCATCTCGGGGTTTTGAAAGCTCTGCCCTTTGAGTGGGGGGGCAGGTTTCCAAGCCCCTCTGTCTTCCGAGGTGCCTCCATGGGCACTTCCTGCTCCCAGTCATGGGCTAAACTGTTGGCACCACACAGAATTCCTCAGAAAAGGCTAAATGAGCAGGAAGCCGCAGCAGGTGGGACAGAGAGGGCCTGGGCTCATGCCACCTGCGGCACCACCCCCACAGCGGCACAGCCCCACTAGCTCCCTGGTGTGAGGGAGGCCAATAGTTCTAGAAAGAACGATGGGGGCCAGAAGGTGCCCCGCAGCTTCCACACTCGCAGCCTTTCAGCCTGTGCCCCTCTCAGTACCACCCAGAGTCCATGTCTGGAAACAGCGGGAGCCCAGGGCCATCCATCTTACAACTCTGGACTCGAGAACAGCTTTATTGGTGGCCCCAAGGGGCTCGCGTCTCCTCTGACCCTGTGGCACCAACCTGCCGCAGGGCTTTCTTCAGGCAGGAAGGCCAATCACACAGCTCAGGGACACCCCAACAGGGGTCAGACCTCTGAGACAAACAAGTCCTGATTTCAAAGTCGGCAAGAAGCTCAGAGGCTGGGCTCCCACAGGGCTCAGGGGGCTGGCTGAGGTGTTCAGTGGGGTCTGCAGGGCCACCGAGACAAGGCGGAGGCCGGGAGACAAGTCCCCAACCTGTTCACAGTGGACACCTGGTGGTGCCTGGCTCTGAGGGGGGACCCGGTATGCTGGGGTCAGGACGCCAAGCGGAGGTGGGAGCAGCAAGCCCTCCCCGCTGTCCCTGGACATGCGGACGCTCCGCACATGGTCTGGACCTGGTACCACCACAGCCGCTGCCGCACAGACTGCCCCTCACAGCCAGGATGTGTTAGGGTTCTTGGTGGGGTACACGTACCACATTACCACCCCTGAAGGGTTGATGACCACTGTGAAGTTAGTATAGGCACGGAGGCCACTGATGGTTTCACCCGTGTAGACATTCTGGACCTGCCGTGGGGAGGGATAGCACCGTGTCAAGGTGAGATTCCCCCCCCCCCCCACCAAGGGAGAAGCCTGGCCAGTGGTCTGGTCTGCCCTACAGAAGTGGCAGCCCTGCCTTTCCCATTACTCCCCACCCAGCACTGAGAGCCGGGCCCACTGAGCACCCCCGGGTAACAGGCTTGTGCCCATTTGTCCACAGCACCTCCGAGAACCCTGCCAGCACCAGTCCCGGCACCCAACTCAGGGGCCACCACAAGTGAGTACCCCACACCCAAGCAGGTACCCGGGAGCCCAGAGGTGGGCGGGCCCCAGGTGTCAGCAGCCCTCACCTCGTAGATGTAGGTGCTGGAGTAGCTCAGGTTGGCCAGGGAGGACTGGTAGTGGTAAGGTATATCCATCCTCCGGCTGAAGAAGACCAGGGCGCTGGCTTTGTTGGACAGTGGCCGCAGGTACACCTCAATTTGGGATTTCTCCTGCACGACACCAACTCCTGACTGGGGGCCTTGTTCAAGCAGGTCCTGAAGTTCCCCCGCCCCGGCTCCCCCTGGAGTTCTGGGCAGCCGTCCACGTGCCCTGTCAGAGAGTTCCTGCTGGAGGGCCCCCCCACCCTCCAGCATTGCGGCTTGTCTACGCCTGCGTCCCGTCCCTGCCTTCCCTGACTCAGCTGCTGCCCTCCACTCCCACCCTGGCCGTGCCGGGCCAGGGCAGACAGACGCCACGTGGGGTCTTGCCTCAGAGCTCGTAGGGAACGGAAGGCAGAGGCAGAGCAGGGACTAGTGAGAGAACCCATGGGGGCGTGGGCCTCGAGGGGGAGCCAGACCCTGGGCATGGTGCACTCTGCCCCCAGAGGCCAGGGAGGCTGCACAGGGGAGCCAGCCTGAGCGTCAGCTGTGTGTGCATAAGGCTCCCTCGCCCACTCCACCACCAGCTCCACTCCACCACCAGCTCGTCGGACAGGGCAGCAGGGCTCTGCCGTCCAGACAGCTCTAGTCAGGAACGGCGGGATGTGTGGAAAGAGACCAGGCTTGGAGGCAGCATTGCTGTCCACCGGCCAGCTCTGCGGCCGTGGCTGAGCCAGGAGACTCCCTCTATGTCTGCGCCTCCCCATTAGTCAGGCCGGGAGCAGCCAGCTTGCCGAGAAGGATCCAGAACGCCCAGCACATAGTAGGTGCTCAGTAATGGGCAACGCTGGTAGCAGAAGTGGTAGTAACAGTGGTCGGAGTCCTAGCTGCAGCAGCGGCACTAGTGGCAGTTTCCCTAGGAACTGCAGGGGGGGCCCCTATTTGGTTGACATCACGGGCTCCCTCCCTGAACTCCGACCCAGGTCTCACGCAGGCATGAGGGGACTGAAGGGGGCTCCTGAGGCAGTTCTAGGCGGCGTCCCCCACATGCCATGGGAGTGGTGCTGGGGAGGGCGGAGCAGTGTTTCAGGGGCCTGTCCGCCATGGCTGCAGTCTCAGGCCACCTGAGATCAGGTCTTCAGCGGCCCCGGCCCTAATACCTTGAGAATCCTGCGCCCCTGGATGCCAAGGGGGTCCTGGTGGATTTTGATCATGAGTGGATTCTGCAGAATGTCCATGTTCCTGGCGGAAATGGTCCGCAGGTCGGTGGACATGAACAGGGGCGCCGCCAGCACTGTCCACAGAGCCATCTGGGACTGGGCTTGCTCGAAGCTGAGGCCAAAGTTCCCAATCAGCAGCTATGGGACAGAAGGGGCTGGTCAGCGCTGCCCTCCTTCCACAGGGAGGCGGCCCTCAGGCGGCCACAACCAGAGGCCAATAGAAGACGGTCAGGGAGGAAGGCTGGGCTGAGCGTGGAGCTCCATGACCACCACGCCCCCGGACGTGGCCTTGGGAGAGTGGAGCCACTGTTGCTTCTGAACCAGTCAAAGGGAGTGATCATCAGCGCATGGTGGTCACAGGAGGTTGAGATGGTTCACGGGGTGCTGTGCATACACAGGGGACACAAGCACCCCACGTGGCAAGAATGGGAAACCAGGCCCAGAAACAGCCCTTCTTTGGCTGCTGCCACCCTCCTTCCCCAAGGGAGACCCAACTGTAGTAGCAGACAAATTATTGCCATGGGAGCAGCACCGAGGGGAGTCGTTGCTAGTTGCCAATGCGTCCTGTTCAGCCCCTGGCCACCCGTGGGCAGTGGACGGCCCCGCCCAGTTTTGGGGGCTGATTGCAGGGTGCATTTCCCAGGCTGCAAACCTTGATGGGAGCGGACGGCCCTCATCTTTCACCCGCTGACCCTCGGGTGGGTTTGAACCACTGACCTTTTGATTAGCAGCCCAACCTTTAGCCCACGGGCCACCAGGGCTCCTTAGAACTCCCAAGGATTCCATGTAACAATTACAGTCATGGCGGGTTGACTAGGTGAGCAGAGAGCTAGAGGTCCTGTCTGTGGAGGGGGACAGGGCTGGGCGCCCTTTGTGGAAAGCACCAGGTCCCACGCTTGACAGAGGAGCTGGAGTTCACTAGGCTGCTGGGGCGGGGGCAGCCCCTACCCTGAGATGTCAAGATCTTCACCCGCAGTGGACCGAGTAGCAGCTCCAGCCGGGGTCCCTAGGGGCCACGTGCTCAAGCTTCAGGGCCAGCAGAAGGCCAGAGAGACCGGAACAGTGGGCATTCCCAGGTCCCTCCCATACATTCAGATCCCAAGTGGGGGCAGGGGGAGGTAGAGCCCTGGAAACCACTTCCCTAGGTGACTTGGATACAGCTGGTTCTGGGGCATATTTTGAAAATGCTGACCTAGAACCCAGCAGCGGGTACCCAGGAAGCGAGGACACCCCTCCCTGTCAGTACCATGTCAGGGTCGTTCCAGTGCCCAGGGCCGGCCACAGGCTGCAGGACGTCCTGGTGACTCACGAACCAGTCCAAGATGTTGAGCATGCTGCTCCAGGAGTCCTGGATGTCCTCATAGTTACGCCACAGGTTACAGGTCTTGGCCAGCGTGGTGTAGTTCACCTGCAAGTGGAGGCAGGCAGAGTCTAGCCCCTACGAGTCAAACCTTCCTGGCGGGGGGCTTACCTGGGGACTGGGAGCAGGGGGCGCACATAGAAGGATGGCAGACCCTGCCTGAGCTTGTTCAGATGGGAAAGGGTCTGAGGAGGCTTGCTTAGGATGGGCAAAGGGAGGAGCAGGTATGTTCTGCTCTGGGGCTGCCCAGTCACCCTCGTGTGCTGCTGCTAGAAACCTGCCCTGCCCTCTCATGCCAGCGGAGACCAACCCACCACCTTCCCGCTGCATACCTACCATCTGCCAGCCTCCTTCCTCCCCACGGTCTACAAGCCTCACCTTTCCTCTTCGTATCTAACATGCAGAAGGGCCCTAGGCAGGCTGCCCTCAAGACCCTTAGGGCTTGGGCCCTGCCAGGCCTCAGCCTCCTGGCCCCCCTGGCACCCTGCAGTGTGTGGCTCATGCAGTTCCCTTAAGTTGGATGCCAGGCCTTTAAGGCCCTTGGATTGGCTGGGGCCCCCTTTGGGGGCCCATCTCTCTAAATAACAAATCAATGCATGAGCAACTAGGAGGAAGAGCCCCAACTTTGGAGGCCTGACACAGATGTGGGGGTGAATTCAGGGTGTGGGGGGCACTCCAGGCAGGTGCATGCAATGACTTACCTTTGGGGGGAGGCCCCCCTCATAAGCTGGCCAGCTGCAGGAGAAGGCAATGGGGTGGCCAGTGGCATTCAGGGCAGCAGCCATCTTGGGGTACCCTGGAAAGCCCCAACCCCAAGTTTTTCAGGACAGGTAAGGCACAAGAAGCGGCCTGGATGGGTCTCAATCTAACCATCTCCCACCAAGTGTGAGGAAACAAGAGACACAAAGGACACCCCACACACACCCCTGCCCAGAGTCCCCACACTTCCTGAGTGGGTCTCAGAGCCAGTAGTCTCCAGGGATCCAAGAACCCCGCCCTCAAGCTCCAGGGTATGGGAAGTTGGGAAACACTAAACCCCCAGAGGCCACAGAGACAGACCAGGCTAGCTCGGGCAGGACCCACCGTGGGCCCGCTCCAGGGAGGTGGAGTAGCAGCCATCCAACTTCAGCATGTCCACCTGCCACGTGGCGAAGGTTTGTGCGTCTTGAACCACCTTGTCCAGCGTGGTGCCTGGGTAACCCATGCAGGTGAAGTTGCCCAGGTCTGCGTAGATGCCCAGCTTCAGCCCCAAGGAGTGAGCCTGGGGGAGTGGGGGTTTGGCGAAGACGTGATGGTGGATACAGGCAGGCCCCTGAGGGTCAGGCCCGTTAAACTTCCAAGTGCTCCTCAAAGCCAAGAGCAGGATCTCAGCTTGTTGACCCCGCCACTCCCATCCCCATCCCTCACCCCCAGGAACCATTTCTTGCCTTGGCTTTGGCTAGCCCCTCTGCCTCAAACACCACCTCTCTGAGATCAGCTCCAGGGCTGCCTCCTCTGGGAAGCCCTCCTAGAACACCAGGCTGGACACAAAGTCCTTCCTGGACAATGAGCCCAGCCTAGGCTTTCATGGGTCTGCCTGGCCCGCTCCCCCACCCCCCTGACCACGACCTGTGACCTGAAGGCCCTCCAGCTGGTCAATGAGCCCTAGACAGGGTGGGGAAGAGGGAGTGGGTGCGTCCCGGCCCGCGGGCTCACATAGTCAGCCAGGAAAGGGATCCCATTGGGGAAGCGCTTGGGATCAGCCACCAGGTTGCCTTGGTTATCCCGGCCACCAATCCAGCAGTCATCGATGTTGAGGTATTTGTAGCCCAGGTCCCGCCACCCGTCCTGTGCCAACCGGTCAGCCATCTCCATGAAAAGCTGCTCGCTGGTGAGGGACAGAGAGGGGGCTGCTCAGTGGCCCCTTCCTCCGCAGTAAACTCAGGCTGCTATCAGGGTGAGCCCTCGCGGTCGGTGGGAGGGCTTAGCAAGGGGACTTTCCCCGAGTGGCAAATGGCCAACACCTTTGTAAGGAGCTACAAGCAAGGTTTTATTGGCAATGCCAACGCATTCTAATGTGTGGGTCCTAACAAACTATGGGTAGTCTTGAGAAGAATGGGAATTCCAGAACACTTCCCTTGTGCTCATGGGGAACATGTCCATGGATCAAGAGAGTAGTGGGAACAGAACTAGGGGATACTGCTTGGTTTAAAATCAGGAGAGGTGTGTGGCTGGGTTGTATCCTCTCAGCAGACTTATTCGATCTGGCTGCTGAGCAAATCATCCGAGAAGCCGGATGACGCGACGAAGAATGTGGCATCATGACAGTGGTGGTTACGAGGTGCCACTGAGTCCGTTCTGACCCACAGTGGCCTTATCCAACCAGAACCAGACCCTGCCTGGTCCTGTGCGGTCAGCAAGTGCAAAGTTGGAGGAAGGCTTCTTAACAACCTTCAACGGGCAGACGACGCAGCCTTGCTTGTGAGGAGAACTTGAGGCACTTGCTGATGCGGATCGAGGATTTCAGCCTTCAGGATGGATGATCACCCAATGTAACGACCCAAATCCTCACCACTGGACCAATAGGTAACATGGTGACAAATGGAGAAAAGGCGGAACTTGTCAAGGATTTGGTTTGGTTTGGATCCACAGTCACTGCTCATGGAAGCAGCAGTCGAGAGATCAGAAGTGTTGCATTAGGCAAACCTGCTGCACAAAACCTCCTTAGAAGCAAAGAGGTGCCTTTGAGGACTAAGGTGCACCTGACCCAACCCATGCGATTGTCCATTGTCTCACATGCATGTGAACGTTGGACACAGAATAAGGAAGACTGAGAAGAATCAATGCATGTGAACTGTGGTGCTGGAGAGGGATATCGAAAGTACCATGGACTGCCCGAAGGACGGACTGGTCTGTCTGGAAAGAAGTTGGCCAGACTGCTCCTTGGAGGCAAGGATGGTGAGACGTTGTCTTACATAGTTAGGGCATGCTGTCAGGAGACCAGCCCCTGGAGGACGACATCCTGCTTGGTAACGTCGAGGGACAGTGAAAGAGGAAGGCCCTCAAGGAGATGGATGGACACAGAGGCTGCAACAGTGGGCTCAGGCATAAGAGCAATGGTGCGGATGGTGCGGGACCAGGCCCGGTTTCATTCTGTTGTGCCTAAGGTTGCTATGGGTCAGAACCAACTACACGGCACCTACTAACAACAACAACACAAGCAGGCTGGAAAAGGGGTGACTGACCTTGGGCGCCACAACTAGTCTGGTCTTAACAGTTATTATCTCTTCTCCATTATCACAGGAACCAAGTATCTCAGAGAGAGGCCCCAAGCAAGTCACATCCCGATGGCTGACTGACCTACCAGGAGTCACCTGACTGCAATCTCTGGGGTGGGTCCTTCCACTCCCTGCCCCCACTCAGCAGAGCCTCCAGGCTCACTGGGCTGGAGGAAGGCTCACCTGATGCAGTTCTGTGGGTCATCTTGACAGTTGATGTTGCAGCGGAAGCGTTCCCAAGCCAACCAGCCCATGGGTGGCGTCTTCAGGAGCCCATTGTCTAGGGCCAGCCCCTGGGTGACAAGAGCCAGCAAGGGCACTGCCAGCCACCAGAGGGGTTGGGCAGGGTGAGCAACTGTGGGGGTCTCCTGCACAGCAACCCCACCCTCACCCCACCCTGCGAGGGCTGCCTGGCTGCACATGAGGGGAACCAGATGTTTGGCTGGAAGTGGAACTACCCTTCATGGCAGCTGATTCCAGCAAGGGAGGAAGGTGAGGTGTCTGGCTGGGCCACCAAGGATCTTGGCCTCAGCGCTTTAGAGGGAAGCTGAGAAGGGAAGAGGCCTCTTTGAAGAGGAACCGATTCCTGAGTTCCCAAAGGCCTTCTGCCTTCCCCGTCAACTTTATAAGAGGGAGCCAGTCTCTTCCCAAAAAGAGGCCTGGACACTGAGAGGCGAGAAGGTGCCCCCAGGTAGTCCCCACCCCACCTGGCCACCGAATCTCTCAGCCACCCCACCTGGGCCCGCACCTATCATCAGCAGCATGGCTCAGGACCGGCCAGAAGTGCTCTGCCCGCTCAGCTTCCTGCAGTGACCTCTGGAACCTGAAAAGCACAGGGGTCGTACCTTGGACTCCCACTGGGCCCCTAAGTCACTCTCTGCCGCACCCACTTCCCAGAGCTGTCCTGTCTCCTGGAACACGAGGCCTTGGACGTTAGTCCTCATCCTCTCTGCGCTTTGGAAGCCCCCCCGCCCCCGCCGCCAGGTCTCAGAGGGCTAGGGCCGACCCGAGGCCCAGCAGGACCGGAGACGTGGGTACAGACAAGCCTCCGGACTTCCTCCCCCCACCCCAGAGCCCAGGTTCCCGCCACCGGCTCCCGAGGGCAGCAGGCTCAGCGTCCCGGCGCAGAGAGCCGCCCCAAGTCCCCGACCCGCAACACGAACCCTTCGATCCGCTCAGATGCGCCTCTTCACGGCCGCGCTCTCGCTCAGTCACCAGATTCCCCCCGCGGGTTCCACTGGGGCGGGGCCTTACGCCAACAAACCTTCGGGACGGAACCTATCAGAATGCCCTTAGCAACGTCCTGCCCCGCCCTGCGAGAGCCCAATTCGAGTGCCCCGCCCCTCGGAGCCTCTCAAAGCCCCGCCCCTCAGAGCCTCCCAAAGCCCCGCCCCTCGGACCCTCTCAAAGCCCCGCCCCTCGGAGCCTCCCAAAGCCCCGCCCCCTGAAGCCCCAGCCCCGCGCGCTCCGGAGGCGGGCACTAGCCGCGCGGGGTTCAGGAGCCCGTGGTTGGCTGGTCCTCTCTTCCGGGTTCTCGTGGGCGGGAAGTGCGCGGGGCGCGGGGCCCACGCAGGACTTTCTCTGTAGAATGAACCCCGAGGGGTTTTGTTAGGAAGAAATGCGAGAAGGCCCAGAAACGAGCCCCACAGTTACCCTCTCAAGCATGCCCAAGCGCGCCCGTGAAGTGGAGGCCGCTGTAGAGTTTCCAAAGCTGCAATCCTTATGGAAACAGACGGCCCCGTCTTTCTCCCGCGGCTGGTGAGGCCGAGCCGCTGCCAACCTGTGGGTTAGCAGTCAAGCACTTTAACCACTGCGCCATCCGGACGCCTTTCAGGAAGGTTAGCAGAGAGCCGTGTGGGCTGAAGACCTGACACTCAGCCACCTGTTATTGCTTATCAACAAGTCCTGCGTAGGCTTTCCTTTCTTCACCAAACACTTACTCGTGCCAAACAATTCATCGTTGGCACCTTCACTGGCATCTCAAACATAAAAAGGCCCAGAACTAATAAACGGGCTTATTGTCTAGTAACAAGTGCCACCTTCATTCACGTCTGCCCGGGTATTTTCCTTTGCCTCACATGCACGTGACAGTCGGACACCGAATCAAGAAGACCGAAGAAGAAACGATGCATTTGAACGGTGGTGCTGCAGAGGGATATCGAAAGTCCCGTGCACTGCTGAAAGGACAAACTGATCTGTCTTGGTAGAAGTATGGCTAGAATACTTTAGAGGCAGGGATCGTGAGACTGTCTCGTACATGCTCTGGACCTTGTTGTCGGGAGAGACCAGTCCCTGGAGAAGGACATTGTGTTTGGTGCAGTAGAGGGGCAGCAGAAAAAGAGAAAGGCCCTTAAAGGAATGGACGGGACGGCTGCAACAATGGAGCCAAGCAGTGGCACCGGGCGAGGAGGGTGCAGGACCCGCACTGCTTCATTCCGCTGTGCATAGGGTCGCTATGGGTCAGAAGCGACTCCATGGCACCTGAGGACCACAACACGCTTCATCTCCGTGAATGAGGAACGCGCTCAGGCCAAACGCCTGGGCGTCATCCTTGCTTTCCCTTTCTTGCCATGTCCACGCCATCCATCGGCGTGCATCCCGGGCTCCCTCTTTAAATGGCTCCCCGTAAAGGATCTAGCTGTGACTCGCCCAGTCCTGGTGCTCTGCTCAGCCCCCACAGCTCCTGGGGATGATGCAGCAGTGTCCCCTCTGATCTCTGGCATCCAACTACATTTGTTCTCTCCATGGCAACGGGGGGCCGGGGAGGCAGTCCTTCAAAACATAACTGCTCTGCCTCGCTGGTCACGCACTGCACGTTCGTGGGGAGCCTGGTGCTAAACCATTCGTAGACGACCTGCTTCTGGGTCGGGGTTTCGTACGTAGCAGAGCAGCTCCCTCGCTGCGATCTATTGAAAGTCAGCCCTCGACACAAGGGTTTGTAAAAAAAAACCCACATAACTGCTCTGATCACTCTGCCACTCAAACGCCCTGCACTGACTGGGCATCTCCCTCTGTAGGAAAGCCCCAGCCCTCGCAAACTTTATAAGGGCTGCCCTGCACGTTCTGACGCCTGTCACCCCTTCACCTCTCAGCCATACTGGCTTCCTTGCCCTTCCTCCAACTCCCAAGGCATTCCGTGAAGAATTCCTCGCTGTTCCTCAAAGCGTCTGAGGGGCCTCTGCACTGACATCCCTTCTGCTTGTAAGGTTTGTTCTCCCAATAGATCAGAAGAGGTGGCTCCCTGATCCCTTTCGAATCTTTGCCACCTTCTCCATGAGGCCCACCCTGACGATTTTGTTCAAAGATGCAACCTCTCTGTCCTCCCGATTGCCCATCTCCCTTCACTTGCTGGACATCCAATCGGACTCACGTCGACCCTATAGGACGGAGAAGAACCGCCCCTGTGGGTTTCTGAGGCTGTCGCTCCTTCTTTCTCTCCCAGTTGCGAATTGCTCCAGTGCGAAATGCAGTTATGTCTGCAGGGCTCCTTCCATGCCCTTTCCCCTGTTTCACAGGTCCCAGCCACTCGCCATCGCTTTACCACGGAGCAGAGATCTTGTAGATGGCGCAGAGTGTGGGGATGTTTTGTTCTGTCCCACAAGCTGGAACCTTCCCCGTGGCAATAACAACAGCGCTAACCTAACACCTTTCCTAAGGGTTTCCTGTCCCCGGAAACAACCCTGAGGGAGACACGGTGAAGCACACCGCTCCAGACGTAATGGTTGGTGATTGGAACTTACTCCAGAGCTGTGGGAAATGGAAAGATTTCTCCCAAGTCGTCTCCCCCAAATATTTGCTAGATTTAGGACACTGCTTGCAACCAATGGTAAATGATTGTCAAGTGATCTCCCTGAAGACTCCAGCCATCCAGAACAAGCAGACACCATTGTTTCTGCACAATAGGCAGGGCTCACTCCCTGCTGTTAGAGTCAGTGGATTGCTTCCCCTGAAAGCTTAGGCTAAATAAAGCATCTAGCTCTAAGGCAATCAAGATTAGGATGCCATCATGAGTCTAGGGTCTGCCCATCTTGTCACACGTATATCCTTAATCCCTCCTCTTCCTATAGTGTGTGTATAGCCCTAGATTGTCCCCTTCCCATTACTATATTACCTATAGCACAACTCTTTCCTGTGACATGTCTTCACCTGCAATTAGGGGGCTTGCATGTCCCCAGAGAATATAAAAGCCTTGGTTAACAATAAATCTCTCTCTCTCCACGTGGACCACCAAGGGAGACTGAGGTGAGCATGCTACCATGAAATGTGTCTGACGCCTTTATTTTAAACTCTCTTCTATCTCTCATGCTCTCTATGACTGTACTATAATCTTCACTTATTATTGCTGTACAATTACGCCTACCGGACCTGTGATGATGTGTTTGGGGCTCTCTCCCCTGACACAGAGCTGGGTGGGAGAAAGACCTGACCACCTGCTTCTGTAAAGACTGAAGACAAGAAAACCCTCTGGGGCTGCTCTACTCGGTCACACGGGCTGCTAGGAGAAGGAATAAATGCTCTGGCCCAACCGCAGCAGCAGCAGCATCTATGAAGTTCAGAAGGTTCAGTGGGGGAGAGAGAATCACAAGCAGATCAGAAACCCACGAGGGGAGGGAAGTCTTCTATCATGGTCAAAAGGTTAAGCCAAGGACATGACAGAGGCATGGATCTTTAGATGGCATGGGCAGGGAAGGCCTCTCTGAGGAGGGGGACATCCGAGGTGAGATCCACATGATGCAAAGGCGCCCTAGCAGGGTTAGGGCAGCAGGAGGAGTTTTCTGGGCTACAGGACTAACCCATTGCTACCGAGCCTATTTTGGTTCATAGTGAACCTCTAGGACAGGACTTCGCAAGCTGGGATCTTGACGGTCACCGCTTTTCTGTCGGTTTGTTGTACAGCGGTTGCTTGCATGCGACTGTGATGCTAGAAGGTATGCCACCAGTGTTTCAAACACCAGCAGGGTCACACCCAGGGTAGACATGTTTCAACGTCGAATTCAGGCAAGGAAGAAGGACCTGGCGATCTACATCTTAAGAAATTGGCCAGACAACCTGATGACGAGCAGCGGAACGTTGTTTGGTCTAGGCCCCCTGAGATAGTTTATTGTGCCAGCCTGGCTGATAAACGCAGGTGGGATTGACTGAGGGGCGGAGAGATGGATGGCTTGGTGAGCCTTGCCTTTCTTGTCTCTCACTCTGTGATCATCGGACCAGTGTGCGGCTGCCTTGCTTGTTCTGTGCTTCAATTTAAAGGCTACACT